TTAACGTTCGCTGCGTGAGTATTAGAGTCGAGATATGCGTATGTGACTATACTGAAGACTGGGCTGGCCTTCGATTTCCGTTCTACCAACAGTTGTGGTCTTTTAGACGAGCTAGGGTGGACATGTTAAAGTGTCTTTCTAGGCTCCGCTTGAACCCATCAGGGTTTTCACAACATCTTATTTCAGGTGGTAGTTGGTTTCGAAGAGTGCAATATTTTATGGTGAAAAAGTTTCCCCCAATGGATTTTCTGTGGGTAGCCACCTTGACAAGGTAGTCGTGGTTTCGCAGCTGATATGATTTAATATTTTCCCACGTTATGGATGAGTTACTGTAGCAATGTTTCCTAATGACTTTGAAGAGTAGAAATAGGTTGCACTTCACTCTCGTTAACCACAGAGGCTCTAATTTCAGACGTACACACCTGTCAGCATATTCCACTTGTTGGTCGAACCCTATTATGCGTTTCGTGAGGAATCTCTGGACACTTTCGATTTTTTTTCTGTCTACAGACCTGAGGTTACTAAATAGGAGAGCACAATATTCAAGTTTGGGACGGAGACATGTCCTATATATGGCTAATCTTGCTTCTTGGGTGTAGAAGTTACGCAGTACAAAGCCAGTAAGTCGTTTACAGTCAGACACAACCTTGTTTGCATGATCGGAAAAGGATAAATCTGAGTATGTTATCCCGAGATCTGTGACTGTGTTCAGTTTTGAGAGGAGCTTACCGTACATATATAGGCACATTATCGTTTCCAGCGTCCAAGGTGGGTTATACCGCACTTGTCTGGGTTGAAAGTCAGTTGCCACTTTTCGCTCCAATCGCCTAGATCATTTAAGTCTTGTTGATCTTGCTTTCGACGCTCATATCACCGTACCCATAATCATATACTATCTTGAGATCATCTGCAAAAAGGCATGGCTTGCCATACTTGATTACAGAGACTATGTCATTTATAAATAATAGGAACAGAATAGGGCCAAGAAAACTACCTTGTATTACTTGTATTTAGCTGTTGAGACATTATTAATTTGTAGACAATCTGCGATTTGATATTATATCATACTTGATCGTGCATGTAAAAATGGCATGCATTTTCATGTACATTTATGTTTATATGAAAATATAAAATTATTATTATTATTATAACACTGTCCGAATATTATCTTCATTTGTGTTTGCATCCGTGCTGGCGATGAGTAAGTTATCTGCGTATGTTTTCGCAATTCACTCAGCAAGTCGTCCATAAATCTTTGGAAGGTTTGTGCAATATTCCAGAGGCAAGATTGCGTCCGCACGAACTCATTATGCAGGTAGGTTGGTAATGGCTGTTTCAGGTGTACCCTACTCAGCCACGAGGATATTGTCATAGGCGCGAAACAAGGCACTTTTAGTAGATATGTCAGCACCTCTAAGACTGTTTGTAAATTATTGAATATGCAGTCCTGGGATGGATATTGTAGTCACCACAAGGGGGCCAATCAGCCCGATTTCTCTTCGGCACCTCCTGTAACTGTGAAGCCCACTGACTATTCGGGGGCTGGATAATCCCCAACTGCAGCATATAATCAAATTCTGCCTTCACTATTGTAGCTTGTCCATACCCAATCTTGGGTTAGCCAGCAATGTGCCCTATTATGAGTAGTTTTTGAACAAGCCCTAGACGCTTGCGATTTGGTCGCAGTCAGAGTTGGGAATTCTTTTGGAATTTTCCAGAGCCTTTGGATCGACACTCGGCCAGACTCGATGATTGGTGCTCACGTGCTTTGTCACTCATACACCAGGAGGTTTCTTTTACTGCCAAACATCCCTTTTGAGCGTCCACTAAAAAGTGGTATCACTCAAGGAAGTTAATGTCAACGGTTGCTAGGTCTAAATCAACAACAGCGAACCCCATTGACAGCCGTCATTTACATCTGAGGTCAAGGTCAGTGGCTCTCACCTGAACGTCGCGTCCTGGGTTTTATTGGAGCCACGCTGCATGACGGGAGACTTGTCTCCCGGATAAGCCTTTGGTTTTGATGTTATACTAAGTACAACTCATGTACCAACCAAGTAGTTTATGCCAGAGATTTTATTCTTGGCATAGAATAGGCTACTAACCGGACACTCTTTCTCAGTAGTCTCTACTTGAGAAGAAGTTAATCGTTTCCCTGTTGTTTGTGGGGAGGTTTAAGTCGGGCGCGTGGTTGTGTGCATTCTACTAACTGTGCACCAAACGCCCAGTGACACCGGCAGAATTGACCTGTTGACCTAGTTTGTCTGGGTCCACTCTATGACCAGGAATATGCCGTGTCGGACGATCTACATGGTCTCCTTTGTGAGCTGTATTTCTCCCAGGAAACAACTGCTAGAGGCTGGCCGCGTAAGGCCTGTTTGAACTGGCTTTTAGGTTTAGTCCCGTATTCATATTTTACCACTGGCTACGAAAAACCGTAAGGTAAGTTGTCAATGGAGTTGAAGATTGAACGATCAATTCTTGGTTGTTTGCTCAAAATCAACTTCCCCAATTTTCGCGGAGGCATCAATACGACAGTCATCGTCTCATCGGTCGCTGTTAAGAAAGAAGAGTGAAACATCGTCAGAAGTAATACTATGATTTATTATTGTAATATTTGTTCACAGACCTTAGTCATACTTGATTTATATGTTGGTGTAACAATACATAATACTCAAGTCAACAATTGGTGTTTTGGTTTTTTCGTCCATTGTTACTAAGCGTTTCTGAGAAACTACAAGCGACAGCGTGAGTCCGAGCGTAGCAGGAGCTGGGCATTAACGGTTTACGAGACGTGACTGACAGTTTCTGACGATAGAAACAGATCTGGCGGATTCAAACAGTTGGTGAAATTTTGGATAGTCGCCGTTCATTTTCCTGGTGCCGGTCAAGTCCTCTTTGAACAAGCAATATCTGGAACGTTTTTGGAATTGGGTCAAGTTCAACAATGCCTGGGTCAAAGAAGGGACAGAGTGTCTTGGATGCAAACAGGAAAGTAAGTCATGGTGACTTGTCTGTTAATTGTAACGATGTGTCTGATGTTAAGCATGACATGGTTGATGTTACTGTTTCGCCGTTCAGGGATAATAGGAACATCAAACTCCCTAAATTTGAACCACGGTGTTTTGATGGAAACCCGGCTGATTATTTACAATTTGTAAGGGAGTTTGAGATCATGCTGAATAGTTTTCTATTAAGTGATGAATTGAAGTTAATGTATTTGATGAGATATTGCACTGGAGATGCTTCAAGAGCTATACAGTGCTGTAAGTTTATGAAGCCAAAGGAGGGCTACGATGAGGCTATGAGCATATTACGCCAAAGGTTTGGAAGACCCTCGATGATTGCAGGGAAATTATTCGAGGCTGTTGAGGGTAATGGTGGTCAGTTACAGGATGACTCCCAGGCACTCACTGAGTTTTTAGATAATTTGCTAATTTACAAGAATGGAATGATTTCGATGAATCGAATGAGTGACCTCAACTCGAGTTTTATCCTAGAAGTAATAGCAAGACGTCTACCTACTCGACTGCAAAGGAAGTGGGTGAAGATAAGCTCCCGTATGGAGGATGAGGGTATCGAGCCAAGGTTTGATGATATCCTGAAACTGGTAAATAATAGTGTCAATCAATCTATGAGCAAGTTTTCCAGTCTGTTAGATCTCACCCCTAGAATAGAGCAGTCTGAGGGTAAAACGCACTCATTGATGACGAATAAGCCTCAGAGAGGTGGATATCGAGAAGGCTCGATGATGCCTAGTAATGCATATAGATCTAGTGAGTGTAACAGCTTTCGTAGTACATCCTCGACAGATAAGTTGCAAGATGCAAGACAAACACGGTTGTGTTGTACTCGTTTGCAAGAGGTGCATACAGAGGTGAACTGTGAACCAGTGAGCAAGTTCAGTGATAAGCTAAATGTAAACTCCGGGCCTGACTCCGAATTGTGCAACGATAACGGTGCGGTGAAGAAGTCTGTAGTTACAACTGGTAAGCCGTTGTTGAATAGAGTGTCACAGAATAGAGTTGCTGCTTCAGAGTGCAGTTCTGACTCCACAAGTTTACAAGGTATAACTAGTCAGAGTGAAGATATAAAACCTTTAATGATTTGTGAGGAGGAACCATAATTGTCTACTTCTGTTATTAAAGAGTTTGAAAATGATGAAGTTGACGGTAAATTGAATATTTATCAAATAATAATAATAATAATATATATTCTCATTTTTTACATGAGGGACGCCAGTTTACAGGCATCATCAATTCGATAATTTACACATAATATTAATAAGCATATTTAGTAAAGATAATATAATAAAGTACATTTTTTTCCCTAGCTATGTAGGGTACACCAATTGTATAGGCATGCATAAATATTGTTTTAATAATAATAATATATTCCTTCCTGTTTATGCAGGAACATACCTATTGTACAGGCATGGATAAGTTATTATATAGATTACACATAATTTGATGTATAATGGACTTACAGTTTGGTTGTTCTTTCTGACATCAAAGTCAGTCGGAACAGTCTGCTATAAAGTCTGTTTGTGTAGCACATAAAGAGATATAGAAATATTGTCTTCGCATTAACAAAAAACCCAGACATCACATGAATGTAATACAGATATCCGGGAAAAATAAAGCTTGAAGTCAATTCTCTTATATAACTTTGTTGTGAACAGCACCCATGGCTTGAAGTTTATTGATATATTATGTTGAGATCAGTGATATATTTATTACATTTTTCAGCAGTCTTATCGTAGTTTCATAACAGGAAGGAAATTTGATCGTGGAGGCGGAAATTAGATAAGGTCATGTCGGGTTGTTTTACTGCATCAAATGGTGCCGAGGTCGATTCCAGAATTCTCCATTTGCGCCATTTGTGTCTGCATGGCGGACTGTACTCGTAAGTTGAGTAAAATGTTGAAAACCAGTTGCTTCTTTATTTCAGATCATGAATTCTCATTTACATCGTGTCCGCCACCTTTTTTAAATGGTAGAATTGGATCGTTCCTGGAATTTGAGTGATTATGGGATAAATGGTTTGGAATTAATTTTTGATTCAGCAACCGGTGAATTTTTTATTCTTTTCGATCTAGTACCAGAATAACTGCGAACCATTCCATTCAATATGTCGAATAAGGCACGCAGGAGGAGATCATTACCATGGAATGAGTCAACTTGATCTGAGATGCAGCTTTCAGCATGTTTTCGTTATATCATAGATATCCAGGTTTATTTGCGCTGTAGAGGCAGTGATTTGGATTATGACGTATTCTACAAAGTCTCCGTGCCCATTTGAAGTATACATGTGCTTTGAAAGGATTACTTTGTTGGCTCCTACCCCCACTGAGTGTTAACAACAGCTGCTGTGGGTTTATGTATTTCCTCGCCTTTTTGGATAAAACATCGCCGCATTCTTTTTGGGTAGGAGACCAGTTGGTGGATTATATATGATATCCAAGTAACTTTTATCTTTTCATGTGGTGTTGCGGTAAGTTTCTACCTTGTTTTCTCATATTTCATTCGTATGTTGATTATGGTTCGCCCTTTGTATCAGGTAGACATAGTTTGAACGACTCTTGGTTGAATGGGTGTTATTGTCATGACTGCTGCTTTTTTGTCTGGAATTATAAATAGAGACAAAACAAACAACAGGTGTAGTCTCTGAGTTCATACATTAAATGGGCCTATGATTTCTGAAACTCTTACATGGGAATTACCATTGGTATCAATTACAAACTCACTTAGTGTGTCATTAAGTGCCTTTTCAAAGGAGGCCAATGTGCTTGCTAGTCGTATTTTCTCAGGTAGTTTGTTCCATATTTGGGCATACCTAATCAAGAAAAACTTTTGCCTGGTGGCTGTTTTACATGGTTCTATAGCCACTGTACCTTTAGTGTGCCTAAGGTTGTATCCTGTGTTACCTGAGGGCCGAGTATAGTTAGCAGGGGTATACACTATTTGGTTAAGAAGCTTATAGAAGAGTAACAGATTTAGTCGCAGTCGCCTTAACCATAATGTTTCTAGTCCCAGGATTTCACATCTGGTAGAGTAGTTTGTGCCGTTATCGGTTCCGAGTACTTTTCGCGTGAAGTACCTCTGTACTCCTTCTACTTTCAGTTTGTCTTCTATGCGTGTACTGCTGAATATGAATGAGCAGTAATCTAGGAGTGGGCGCACACATACCTTGTACAGTAGTATTCTGGACTCGTTTCTGTAGAAGTTCCTGAGTAGGAAACCAATAAGCCTTCGTGATTTCGACACTTGATTCGAGATATGCTCTGAAAATGATAGATTGTGTGAATATTTCAGTCCTAGGTCTAGTACAGATTTGAGTCTGGGGATTTTGTGGCCCTGAATTGCTAGGTTGAGGTCAAGGTTGGAACAGCCTATGCAGAGCCATCCACACTTTTCAACATTAAACTCAAGTCTCCACGTGTCACACCATCTATCCATTTTTGCTAATTCTTCATGTATGGAGTTCATAGTTGGGCCGATATCTGTATTTGTGCAGGTATATGTCACCTTCAAGTCATCTGCATACAGTATTGGCTTGCCTATACTAAAACATTCACATATACTGTTTATGTATATAATGAAAAGAAGGGGTCCCAATACACTCCCCTGGATGACACCACTGCTGATTGGTCTAGGTCTGGAGGTCATTGAGCCAACTTTAGTTGTCTGATTCCTGTCATACAGAAATGATTTTATCCAATTGTAGAGGGGGTTGCGTATCCCTAGTGAGCATAGCCTACCGACTAACAGACTATGTGGGACTCTGTCGAAGGCTTTCCTTATATCGAAATAGAGGATAATCACTAGCTCTCTCCTATCTCTTCTATAGGTGACTTCGTTGAAAAAGTCTATATGGCAAGTGACGCAAGATCTTTTCTTGAGGAATCCGTGTTGTGACAGGTTGATGAGTTTATGTTTTAGAAAGTAGTCTGACATTTGGTCTTTGATTACTTTCTCCATGATCCTTGATATGACTGGTGTTATATTGATAGGCCTATAATTACATGCACTAGTTTTGGCCCCTCCTTTATGCTTAGGTAATATATATGTGTTTTTCCAAGTTTCAGGGTAGGTTTCGGTCACTAGTGAGATATTAAATATTCTAAGTAATAATACAATCATATCCGTACCACCGTTTTTGTATATGACGGATGGTATATCGTCTATCCCACAACTACTGTTAGCTTTTAATGTCCTTACCGCCGATGCTATATTTTGTATATTAAAGTTTATTTCACCTAACTTGTAGTTATTTTTGCAGGTTATGTCGAGAATTGGGGACGGATGTGCTTTGGTGTTATTGGAGAACCACTCACTCAGGAGTTCACTAATGATCTGGGGATCATCATAAATTATATCTTCGTGTTCTAAATGACTGATATTGTTTTCTTCACCCTTCTTCAACCGTTTTTGCAAGATTTTGCAGAGTTCCTGGGTTTTAGAGGTGCCCTCTAGGGCTTTATTTTCCTCGACTTGTGCTTTCATTTTATGTCTCTCCTCGAAATTTTTAAATATTTCGTGTATCAGGTGTAATGCATTAAATTCTTTGTATAAATAAAATCTCCTTTTTAGTTTCCTTAGTTTTATTCGCGTTTTGCGATCTATGAACAGAGTTGGTGTCTTTAGGGCAGATTTCAGGGGTGCGATTGTGTCTCTTACCGAACTGATTGTCTTGTAGAAGGTATTTAGTATTACTTCTAAGTTATTATTGGTGAAGTATTCACCCCAGTCTGAGCTTCTCAAGAGCGTTGGTAGGAATTCCCAGTCGGCATTTCGATAGTCCCTATATTGATAGTAAACCGGGGAACTCTTAGGTGTGTGTTTAGTTGTTAGTTGTAAGGGTAGGGTGCAGTACAGTATGTTGTGGTCACTGTTGTCGAGTTTATCCCTCACCTCTATCGAGATCGGCTCTATTTTGTGACAGAGGATTAAGTCGAGTATATTGTTGTGTCGTGTTGGGAGGCGTACGCACTGCTTCCATCCTCCTACATCTATGGCTTCTAGGATCACCTCGTAGGTTCTCGGTCCAGTGCAGGTATCCCAGTTCACTCCAGGGAGGTTGAAATCGCCACAAACTAGTTTGTAGTCGAATTCCAGCTTAGGTACAACCTCTAGTATTTCTCCGATAACCGTATCAGTCGTTATAGGGCTGTTAGGGGCTCTGTATATACATCCCACAAGAATGTTATTTTCATTCGTGTGGATGCTTATCCACTTGGATTCTGGGAGTTTGTCGATAGTTAGGTTTGTAAAGGTATTGGAGTTAGTGGATTTAGAGGCATATATTAGACAGCCGCCTCCTCTCTTGTCTACTCTGTCATTCCTGTGGATGTTATAGTTATCAATTATCAGCTTTGTGTCAGGTATATCAATAGTAAGCCAAGTTTCAGTTACCAGAATCAGTGTTGGCCGCTCCATGTATACCAAGCTGCGAAGGGAAGTTATTTTGTTAAGGAGAGATCGAGCATTTAAAAGCATAATTTTCAGAAAACCAGGGTTGTTGGGATAGTTAGTAGGTTTTCTTGTTACTATCCCTAACTCCTGGTTGCCTATGTTATGTTCGGAGGGATCCTCATATGAGACATTGTCAGCGTGTTTACTATTCCCTGGACAAATTGTGCTGCGAGGGGGGCTATTGCTTGCTGCAGCCGAAAATAATCCTGTTGCATATTTTGACTATTAGCATCCATGGGTCGGCATCTGCGTTGATCTACTGGTGATATATGGTCTGCCCTGCAATTTGGGTTGTAGTTTGCTGGACCTGGGTACCCTGTGTTAAGACTACCCTGGTAGTTGTACCTCATGGGGCTTTCATAGCCGTATGCATATTGGCTCACGTCACGTGCGTGAGTGAAGTTATTGAGGGGATCAAGTGTCGACCTGTTCTCATTATGTTGATGAGGTTTAACATATATAGTGCGGGAGTCTGGACGAGAATTTTCGTTAATATGGTGCCTATATGAGTCCCGTTTAGTGCCCCATGTATCCCGAGGATCCATTCTACGTTGCATTCCCAAGTTATGTGCGTTGTTAGGCATGTTACTTCTAGTCCGGGAAGGGGTATTCCTTCTCATATGCTGCGTGACGTCTTTGGGAATGTGCTTCGTTACCCATGCTTTGTCATTTTTTAGACTGACACGCTGCTTATTTGACTTATTACGAGGGAGGTATGTCGAAGTCTGGGGTGGGACTCTGGGTTTTGTGGTCTTTTTTGCGGTTTCTACTGAGGGACTCTCTGGCTTGGATCCAGATTGAGTGTGGTCTGCCAGTAGTTTCTGGTCAGCCATAGTTTGTGCGTCTATGTCAACCTCATGTAGGTCAGCAGGTTTTCGAGATGTGCTCTCGTGCACTCTAAGACTGCACCCAGTGGCACTGCTCTTACTGAGTTTTGGGTCGCTCTTACTTGCCGTTTTTTCTCCTAACACTATACACGTGACTTGCTGTGCCTCAGTGTCCGTCGACACTTTAGCACTGATACCAGATGTATTTCTCAGTGTTGTCAACTTTGTGTCGAAGGAGTTCTTGGTTGCTTGCCTTTGGTTTGGTGTTTTATCCGAGACTACTTTGATAGTCTTGAATTTAGTGGCAGTAGCCAGAAGATCTTCGGCCATCTTAAATCGTTCAGCTGTTATGTAGCTGTCGAACCTAAAGAGTATAGGACAAGGATACTTCAGGTCTTTTTTGCTTAGGCGAATGCACTGACAAGGTGCATTCAATAGATTTGCAGCCTTCAGCAATGAGTGCTGGACTGACTTTATGGGCTCACTATCCGGTACATTATATACTATTGCGTTTTGTTTTGAAGCCAGCCTTTTAACAACTTCGCTGGATAGAAAGTCGATGGCGTTTTCTAACTCCTTCGCATTTTCTGAGTCAGTATGAGTCATTCTAGAGGTCATATTAAAAAGCTTTAGGATTGTAGGATCCTGCATTTCTTTTTTCATACGTGAGATAGTTTCAGGTATACATTCTAGGGAACTTAATTTCGTTTTTAATTCATCTATCTGTAGCTGCATCTCTTTAATTACGCACGTTAAGTAAGAGAGCTCTACTTTTTCAGACAGAACATCTTCCACCTGTATTACAGGGGTCAGAGTTATGTTCGAGGCTTTTATGTTGGGTGAACTACTAATAATATGGGGTGGTAATGTGTTATTAGACGAGCCGGTGCTATTTTCTAAATTACTGGTGTTCACACGAACACGCTTTTTAGAATTTTGAACCATCGTTATTAAAGATCAATTATTAGTAACCAATAAATGAATATAAGCGAAAACACGTGCAAAAGCGTCACCTGATTTGAACGTACCGGGCAACCAAGTCATGATAGTGATCATGATCATGATAGTGCAGATTTGTCTTTGGTTGATCATGATGAGATGCGGGATATGCCTACTACTGCTAAGTTAAATAAAGGTTCTATACAACTACAACGTGAAGTAGAATTGAACGCAGATGCAGTTCCAGAAGATGTGCATACTTGTGAGACAGTCAGTGTAATTGATCAGCGTGTAGCCCACCTATCATCAGATGATAGTGCTAAACCCGAACTAGTGGTGAAAGACAGCAGTGGTGGTAATCTTGCAGTTGGACAACTATCTGAAAGCCGAAAAAGAACAGCTTCTGATCCACCGCTAACTTCATCACCTTGTGTCACTCAGTCATCGTTGGTGTTTTCATCCACAATGAAACAGATGCCCATCAACTCAAGTATCTTGTGCAATGACTATGATAGTATTTGTGCGTTTGAAAAGACGAAAGATATTGGTCAGTTTAGTGAGAATAAGCCAAGTGTAAAGGAGAGAGTTATTGTTAAATTGACTTGCACGAATAAAGGCATTTCTAGTTTCAAGTTACTATTTGAATGTTATTATCTTTGGTGTAAATTACTCTGTGCTTACGCTTGGTTGACCATATACGTCGTATGTTTGTTCGTCATCTATATTCTACGATACAATGACATGAGCGTGTTACCGTTCAGATTTGAGGATGTGGCTGATAGAAGGAAGTCAGGAAATGAATTCTGCGACGATTTTCCAACCTAGAGCGTCAACCTGAGCAGGGCTGTAGGCGTACTGCTGTAAGTCCTACAATTTTTCAAAGGGTAGTGCATCAGTGAGCAGTCCAATGTGCTCGGTGTGTGATTTTGTACATATGTTGATGTTGTATATACTGAATTGATATCATCTGTCATCTAGCTGTTGGTAATTCTGTTTGTGTCCGGACGACTTCCACTTGGATCATCAACCTGAGAAGGAATGTAGGCGTACTGCTGTAAGTCCTACAGTTCTTCAAGGGTAGTTCGTCAAGGCAGAATCCACAACATTTGATGTGTTGATTGTACATATGTTTGTGTTAAATAATTGTGTGAGATCCAATTGATGTAATTGTTGGTTAATCTTGTTTGTGTCCTTACATTCCACAAATTACAATCGTCAACCTGTGAAGGGTTGTAGGCGTACTGGTGTAAGTCCTGCAATTCTTCAAATGAATTCCATCAAGAGATGATCGGCGAGGTTGTTTGTACTGTTTGTATATATGTGTGGTGTGTCATATCAATTGGTGTATTTTGGATTCATTGTGTTTACTTGTTGTTTTCGTGTCATGTTGTTATTGCGTAAATTTGTTAAAATTTTCGTCGTGATTATTTCTGAAGTTGTGTCCACTCTTCTACATCCGTGAATGAATTGATTGATGTTAGAGACAGCAGATGGGTCGTATACGCCGGGGAGGCTATTGCTGAGAATGAAACGCACACGGAGATAATTGTTAGCTGCGGTCCGACACGACGGGGAGAAAGAATGTAAACGACTGAGGCTCGCATGCGTCACCGCTACTAGAACTGAGGCAGAATGAGTGACAAGCGATTTCAATGGTAATTGGTAGTGAGTAATTAAGAGGATGTGCGTAGAGTATCGTGAGGTGCTGCCATGGTCACTTTGCATTCTGCAAGAGTCATTCTAGCAAGTGGCGATTGTGCTGCAAGATGTCAAGAGGAGGTTTCTGTCTGGACGCGCAGGTCGTCATTGATGTGTGAGATTGTGCTGTGGGTATGCTTGTGGTGTGTTGGCTTTTCTGTTTGTTTTCCATTTCAGCTCTGTCCGTGTGACCCAGGTTCTCGCAATGGCATCCAAGTCAACGTGCATTGATCGTGAAGGAAAAAAGGGTTGGATCCCTTTTTTGCCGGGGAGTGTCAATGGAGTTGAAGATTGAACGATCAATTCTTGGTTGTTTGCTCAAAATCAACTTCCCCGATTTTCGCGGAGGCATCAATACGACAGTCATCACCTCATCGGTCGTTGATCAGAAAGAAGAGTAAAATATCGTCAGAAGTAACAATGATTTATTATTGTAATATTAGTTTTCAGACCTTAGTTTACTTAGTTCGCTTATTGCTTTTATATGTTAGTGTAACAATACAGAAATATCAAACGGCAGATCGGTGTTTTGGTTTTGCGTCCGTTATAACTAAGCGTTTCTGAGAAATCTTCTAAGAACAGCGTGGGCCCGAGCGTAGCGAGAGCTGGGCAT